GTTTTTGGTTTTTGTTTTGTTTTTTTTTTTGAGACAGGGTTTCTTTGTGTAGCCCTGGCTGTCCTGGAACTCACTCTGTAGACCAAGCTGGCCCCGAACTCAGAAATCCGCCTGTCTCTGCCTCCCAAGTGCTGGGATTAAAGGCATGTGCTGGCCGGGCGGTGGTGGCGCACACCTTTAATCCCAGCACTTGAGAGGCAGAGGCAGGCAGATTTCTGAGTTCGAGAGTTCAAGGCTAGCCTGGTCTACAGAGTGAGTTCTAGGACAGCCAGGGCTACACAGAGAAACCCTGTCTCGAAAAAAAACCAAACCAAAAAAAAAAAAAAAAAAGGCGTGTGCTGCCACCACCCAGCTAAAATAAATGAATATTTAAGAAGAAGAAAAAAGAGGAGGAAGAGGAGGAAGAGGAGGAAGAGGAGGAGGAGGAGAAGGAAAAGGAGGAGGAGAAGAAGAAGAAGCAGCAAGAAAAAGAGATGGGGGGACCCCAGTCATAGAAGCACTAAGTGTCTTATGTGTTTCTTGATCCCAACCCCACCCCAATTCCCCAAGCTTAGAAATAAATCTTCTTGTACTAGACATGATAACACTTGTAATCCTAGTACCAGGGAGGTAGAGGCATGAGAATAAGAGTCCCAAACCAGCCTGGGTTACAGAAGACCTATCACAAAACAAACAAAAACAACATCAAAAACCAGAGAAAGGTGGTGAAGCAAGGGTGAGGAGCGCGGGAAGGAGCTCTTCTCTGGAGCAAAGTCAGACCCCGGTCACTCTCTAATCATTTCCTCTGCCTTATCAGACAGGGTGTATGCCTAGGGCCCTGGGGTGAGCCAGGCTTGTTCCCTGACAGAATCGTCTACACAGTATCTCCAGACCTGCCTAAAAAGTAAACTAGGAAGATTTCTGACGTCACATAGTGTGCCACAGAACCAAGGAATTCCACTGTATAATCCTGACAGTGTTGGCAGAAGCCAGTCCTACCCGACCTGTTCCTCCAGACCACTGGTGAGAACCTGCAGCAAGATCACCCTGCATGACCCTTGTTTAGTTCTCCTCAGCCTCAGGGTCCCTGTCTCTACGCCAGTTCGGAGATCTGGCTAAGGTGGACGGAGGGGGCATTGTGCACATTAATATAGAAGTGTTCTACAACGTAAAGAGACTTGAGCAGCCCAGAAGCTATGGGCGATACAGAGGACCATGGCAGAAGATCCCGCGGTGTCCAGCGCAGGCAAGCTAAGCCTTGAACTGGATGCAAACCGTAGGCAGGGAAGCACACCTCTGCTGGTTTGAGGCTGGGGAGAGCAACTGAGCAGATGGCAGGTACGCGGGGGCCACTGGATGTGGACCAGCACAAAGCAGTTAAAGAAGGTATGGATGCGCGAGGGTTCGGCGGCCCTACTGCTTTTCACGGCCACGCCCCTCGCCGTGGCCAACTTGCCAACGCGCGCGACCTCCAGCACCCCAGGGCTGCGCACGCTCTCGGCGCCGGGCGTTGCGCCAGGCCCCGGGTTGGGGGACAAGGAGGGTCCCCGCGCAGGCTCCGAGTCCCGCGGGCGCCGCAGCCGCTTCCGAACTGCCCGGTGCGCTCCTCCCGTGCGCCGTGCGTGTCCGAGCGCGGGCACACGCGATGCAGGTGGGCGCGCTCTCGCGGGCGGGGGTCCGGCCGGGCCGCGCGCCTCCCCCGGAACTCGGCCGTGCCATTCCCATGATGCCCAGCCACCGGGCACGGCTTCCGGAGCGCGGCCGCCACCGCCGCCGCCGCGGGTAGGTGGCGGGAGAGACCGCCCGGGGGGGAGGGGGTTGCCCCGCCCCTCGCCGCGCCGGCCCCGCCCTCCTTTCCCGCGCTCCCACGGCGCGCCGGGTCCCCGAGTCCCCGCGGTACTCCGCGGTGGCTGCGGGTGCCGGACGGAGAGAGGGCGGGGCGCGAGTGTTCGCGCTTCCCGGCTCTCCGGGCCCGGCGCCTCCCGGGACGCGGGGCGCAAGGCGGGCAGCTGGGCCGGCTTCGCGGTGCAGGCCGCGGCGTGGAGGGTTCGGATCGGGTTGGTGGCTGGGGCTGGTCGCTGTCACGGGAGAGGGTCACGGCCCCCGAGAGGCGCCTCCCACGCGTGCCTGGCGCTTGTTGCGCCCTGCGTTCCTCGAGAGCCAGCTGGCGCAGGTCGGGCCCAGGTGAGGCTCAGGTGAGGGGCGGGCTCCGTGCCACCGAGGCCTGCCTGGCCTTCAAGGCTGCCTTCTCGCCCTGCCACGCACAGCTTCGAGGCTGCCGGACTCCCTAAGCGTGGGATCCCAGAAAATGACTCCAGGGATGGATGGGGGGAGGGGGGCACAGACCAGCTGGAGGCCCTGCCACTTACTGGAGAAGGATTGGCATTAACCTGCTATAGACCAGACTCCTGCTGCAGCTGCCTCTCAGACTGCGAGACAGCAGTCAGCACTCAGGCAGCAGCGGGAATCTGTCTCCCCTTGCTTCCCGTGTGCACAGGGAATGGCAGACACAGCAGTTTTTCTAGGGGCCGAATCTCGTCAGCACCTCTGACTCCTAAGGACCAAGTCTTACGCACACCCACTTTAAGTTGGAGTACAGGGCCCTCTACCTCCTAACTTCAGTGCAGAGGCCATGCTAGGCTGCAGGGGCTGATTGTACCCACAACCATTCTGGAAACCTGATTCCCAGAGCCTCTTAATTTAAAGCCCCAATTCTGGCTTCAGCTCACATTTCTAACTTTGAAGTTCATGGTTCTCCAGAATGACAGCTCCCAAGATTGACCAGGTAGTTGGACCAACAGCCATTAAGACTGCCAGAGAAGCCCAGCTCTGGGTCCATCGTTCTAAGCTGTGAGCAGGTGAGTGGAAATAAACTGATCTATTCCCTCAGCTCTGCACCTGATATAATGGTTTCCTGCTTGTTAAGATATTAATGCCACTCACCTCATCCCACCCTGCCTTGCCCCGCCCCAGAGAGCACATTTTTGTTGTTTTTACTTTGGTGGGTTGAGATATGATGGCAGTAGCCAGATGCTGTCTTAGAACTAGATAAGGAACCAGTGCTAGCCTTGAACTCCTGCTCCTCTGGCCTTCACCTGAGATTAAGGCATACACCACCACACCCTATTTAATTCAGACTCATCACAGCTAAGTTGTGCAAATGTTTTATGATTTCTGTAGTATTGCTCTGGCAGTTTAAACAACACTTAGGGCAAAGAAGCAGTAGGTCCCCCAGCAAATGAAAAAACTCTCTCCATCACTTCCCACTGCCCTGTGCCTGTGGCATCCAGGAAGGCAAAGTTATTGTCAAGGATGGCCAGGATGTAAGATTGGGTAGCTAGTAGAGGAAAGCACCCTCCACCCTGTGGCACTCACAGAGAAGAGAGACAAATCGGCTACAATTAGTGTAGTTGGTGTCAGGCACACTTTCCTCAATTTGTCAAACTTTTCTTTATATTAATGTCATATCATAACAGAAAAAAATATAAGCCATGATCAGTTTCCAAATTAAATGTTACTGATTATAACCCTGGGAGTAAAGGCTGATATTTATTTATTTATTTATTTATCTATCATTTATTTATTTATTTATTTAGACAATTTGGTCTCACTATAGAGCCCTGGCTAGCCAGGAACTCACTATGCATAGACTGGGCTGTGCTGGTACTTGGATTAACAGTGTGTACCACCATGTCCAGCCCTCACAGCTGAATGTAAAAGCTGATGGAAGATGGTGAAATACAAGTGGAACGGTGAAGACCTCTTCCCTGAGCCTTGTGGAATATCAGCCTGCACCTGAGACTTTCAAGTAATTACTGTAGAGTTTTTTATACATATATTAGTTTAACTCTTGAAGCACACATTGGTAATCACCATGAGTTGCTGTTGCATTTGCAGTGACCTCTAGTTTGTTGCCTGTCCCTCTTGAGCAGATTTTGGTCTAGATGGCCACACCCACACCCCAGCCTGTCCGAACAGCAGGTCCTGATTAAATAGCTGGTGGAGAGGACAGAACATAAAAGCAGAGCAAACAGCCGCTCAAGCTGTACCATCTGGCCTTGGGTTAGTGGTGGGAAAACCTTCCAGCCTTCCCTTAGAGGAACTCAGGTCTCTTTGTCCTTCAGCCTTCCAAGTGCTCTTCAGTCTTGGAGGCAGAAGGGCATCAGAGAAGCCTGGAGGTATACAGAGCAGTTGGTATTTTTCCGTGTGACTCAGTGCCTCCTAGACTAGGCTCCTCTTTGTGGTGACTCTGTGAACTTTCTTAGTGACACCAGCCTAGCTGGTATGTAGAGACCTGGCTCTGACCACAGAGTCGTGTAGCACTAAGCAGCATCTTCAGCATCCGAGCTGACAAGCCCATGATCTGTCTATATGCCACACAGTCCTTTCTCCAGACCCACCAAAATGATAGGACCACCAAAATGTTGGCACAACTCTCATGCTAACTAGGCAAAATTGGTGTCAGCCTTTGAGAAACATCTGTCAAATACTCATTTGATGTTTTTCCCGTGAAACAGCGTAGGTAAGGGAACCCTATAAAAAGCTTGAGGAAGTACTTTTTGAGTCCTTCACGTGGTGCAGTTTTGGTTAAAGAACATACTGGTCATTTCCAGAAAGGATCCACCCATAAAGTCCTACTTACCTGGACATGTGTTTATAGACTGCTGTGGCTTCTGGCAACACTGGAAGGTAAATGATGTCCCTTTTGTCCTCTTACAGAAAAGTATAGACCCAGAAGGGAGAGGAAAGGGCTGCTGGAGTTTGCACTTTGTTTTTAATTGAGTCTTCCACTTACAGGGTGGAAGTAACTCCCAGTACTGATGGCAAAACTGAGGCCTAAGAGGCTGGCATTAGCCACCCCAGCCACCGTGCAGCCCCTGGCGTGGTGTTTCTTGTAGCGGTGTGGGAGCTGGCTGGTGTTACTGATGAGCTGTATCCTTCATTATGCTGTCTCTGTTCCCAGGATGTGAAACAGGCTGACTGATAAGCCCTGCCTCTCAGCACCCAGCCTGCCTGCTAGGATGTTCCTCATGAACGCCCCTCCAGTGGTGGCGCTCCAATCCAGATGGGAGGCCTTTGGCCAGCCCAGGAGCTTCTGCTTTCCAGAGTGCTTCTCAGAGTCTAAAGAGGACACGTCCAGGGCTTCAGTGAGTGCAAGGGTGCAGATGCTCATCTGCACGCTGCAGAGAGACGAGGCTGCCCTGGGCATGAGCCATGAGCGTGGCACACAAAGAGGCCAGCGTGCAGAGAGGTCCCAGGACACGAGGCTGGCCTCCAAGCCTGCTGTGTGCAAAGAACAGCCAGAGTTCCCTGCCTGTGGTCTTGTTGCAAACTGCAGTACCCTGGAGAAAGATGAAGCTGGGAGACTTGGTCCCTTGGAGCTAGATTCTGACAGTGATGACTCCGTGGACAGGGACATTGAGGAGGCTATCCAAGAGTACCTGAAGGCAAAGGGTGGGGCTTCTGAACCTATGTCCCAAGGGCCCCCATCTATCCCAGAGCCTGCCCACAGCAACATCCTGCCTATCCCGTGTCCCTCACAGCTCACTCCTGGCTCAGGTAGTGTTCCTGTGGAAGCCAGTGAAGACCAGGGCTCCACCTCCCCAGCTAGCATAAGCAGCGAGGACTCCTTTGAACAGAGCATCCAAGCTGAAATAGAACAGTTTCTTAATGAGAAAAGACAGCATGAACACCTGAAGTATGATGGGTCTGTGGATAAAAAATCAGACCCAAACAACAGCCCTGCCAGACTTGGAGGGAACCGAGAAACCTCAGCCAGGGCAGCTCTGATAGGAACCTGTAAGGAGTTCATCTTCCGAAAACCTCCCAGACTAACAAAGACGAGCACACAGCTCAGAAACTTCCAGCCTAAGCTCACCACAGAGCCTGAGACCCCAGTGAGCACAAAACTGACCACCCACAGACCAGAGGCTGCACAGAACAGGGGTGGAGTAAGGAGGAGCTTGCCTGCCAGGCGCAGCAAGCGCATCAGGAGCTTGGCCCCAGCACACCAGGCATCAGACTCTAGCAGTGACGATGGCATTGAGGAGGCCATCCAGCTGTACCAGCTGGAGAAAACCAGAAAGGAGGCCAGTGGAGACCCACCTCTGAGAGCCCAACTGAAAGAAGAAAGCCCTGGCAGTGCCCAGCCAAGTGCCTTGCCTGAAGTCCACAGGAGACCCCCTAGCAAGAAGAGGCTGGCAGTTCCAAAGGTTATGGACACCACCCAGGGGGGCCTCCACCCTGATCCCCTCTCCAAACTCCTAACGGAATCGAGAGCCTCTGTACCTCCTGGACACACAGCTGCCAAGAGTGAAGCTGTACACCAGGCCTCACGCCTAGCAGACACATCCACTGAACTGATGTGTGCAGAAGCTATCCTGGACATCTCTAAGACCATCCTGCCAGCCCCCATGGAAGGCAGTGACAGGCCTCCATCCAGGAACCCACTCTTCTGTCCCCAACCCATGCCTCTCCGCTCTGAAGGTGACAGCAGCAACATTGATAGTGATGACAGCATTGAGCAGGAGATCCGGACATTTTTGGCTCTTAAGGCACAAGTAGGGAGTCCTCAGCCTTCCCAGGGTCCACTGTCCTCACCTGGCCCCAGTGGCCAGCCTGGCATCCCCAAGGCACCTCTTGCTAAAACACCAGATCTCCCTCTGAGCTGCAAACGGAAACGGAGAGGTGGGGCCAGTACTAGAGTGTCAAAGAAAATAAGGGAGGGTAGAGAAAGTGCCCAGGACAGTGACCATATCCAGGGGAAGGTTCAGCCTGACCATGATGGGTGGGACCCTCTCGGGCAGAGCAAAATCACAGAGACCCCAGGAGGAGAGGCTGAAGCCAAGGACCAGCCTGTTACTTCCAGGACAGTTGGGCTCAGTGATACACACCTATCCCAAAGCCATAGGGCCCTCGGGAAGGCCAGTGAGAAGGAAAGCTCTGAGGATAAGAGCAGTTCTTTGGACAGTGACGAGGACCTAGACATGGCCATCAAGGACTTATTAAGATCCAAGCGCAAGTTTAAGAAGAGGTTCCGAGCCCCACGGACTTCGTGTAAGAAGGTCAGATTTGGCAGCACAGAGACTCAGTGTGGGGAGAAGCTGAGCAACCTTCCAGGGGATGGGAAGGACCACAGACAGCAGGCGCTACGGAGCTGTCTGCCCAGGTGCAGAGGGGACAACAAAGACAGCCCAAGACGAAGTCCAGGAAGTGCCTTCAGCAGCATGGCAGAGAGGGCGAAGCTGGGTGGCACAGGGGGTGAGGACGCAACCCCCGCCGTTCTCCCCAAGAGGAAAAATCCAGAAGGGGCTCCTCCATCTAAGGACACAGGAACCAGTGGCCACCTTCCATCAGCCTCCAGCCCCACATCTGAGGACAGCACAGTGGACAGTGATGACAGCATTGAGCTGGAGATCAGGAGGTTTTTGGCAGAAAAGGCCAAGGAGTCTATACGCAACACAGAACCTCGAGGGGCCCCTGCCAAGCCGGAGATGCCCTGTAGGAAAGAGCCAACCCTGGGGTTGCAGCCTGGAGTGTGCACACGGAGCCAAAAAGCCAGGGGAACCCCTCAGCTGGCCGAAGGAAGGAGAGGCCCAGAGAGAGGTTGGACACAGGCCACCAGCCTCTTGAGCCAGACTGGGAAGGGTACCCTCCGTGCTGAGAAGGCCACGCGCCTCACCACTGCCCTGGGCCGAAGCGAGGCAGCACTACCCAAGAACACCAGCAGGAACGACTCTGCCAAAGCATCTCCACCAAGCAGGAAGAGTGCTAATGTTCACAAAGACCATGGCCCACAGGGAAGCCAGACCACAGTGGCAGAAAGTGTGTTTGGTCAGCTGCCCAGTTGTGCCAAAGTGGGTGCCGAGGCTGGAAGTGCTGGGGGGACCTTTCACCTGAACTATGGCAATCCAAACTTGCTAACCCCCAACCCTGGATCCCAGGCTGACCTTGCCCTCTCTTGGAGTGACTTTGCACACCAGACCAGGCTATCCAGCCCATGGGTGCTGAACTCAGGTCAAGGCACAGTATGGACAGGGGTCTTTCAGGGTGAGAAGGAAAAGGGGACCACACCACAGGCTGGGGGCTCACCCAGCCTCTCAGGCCCCAGGAAGGGCTTGCCTTTCCTCTCCACCCAGCTCTTCCACTTCAGGAAGAATGTTTCTTGGGGGGTCAAGCAGGCTGGCCTCTTCAGCCCCAATGTGGGCTTACCTCTGCAGGGTCCAGCGTTCTCAACCTTCAGAGAGACCCAGCCTGGCCACAACCCTGTATTTGGAAGCCCACACTTGCTAATGCAGGACGGTGTGAAATGGCCAAGCCGGAAGGCTCAAGGGACCCTGAGACAGCAGGACAGGAGGAATTCTGACTCTGATGATAAAGTTCTAGACCTGAGATATCGGCACAGAGTTGACAGGGAACAGCAGGACCAGGAGACCTTGGGTAGTGATGCCAGCGAATTCAGTGACACTTCCATGGAGGATGGGGCAGTGCCACAGTGAGCAGTAAAGGCCTCAAGTTGTGACAGGCATGTTGTGGCTCTTACCATAGCTGTGGGAAGCAGTGTTCATGTTTTGTCTGATGTACCTGCGTGCATGCCTGAGTGTGTGTGTGTGTGTGTGTGTGTGCCTATATGTGTGTGAGGCAGCCTAGGGTATGAAGTAGGGGATCCTGACAGTTAAAGAACAAAAACTGGATCCCTTCCATGCAGCCCCCGCTGTATAAATATGTACACTAACCTCAAATGACATTTTTATTTAATGAATGTGTCCTGGTACATAATGCGTTTTGTAGATTTTTTTGTAAATTATTTTAAAAGTGCTGTAAAAAATACTTTTTGAAAATGTCGTTCAATCTCGCAGGGTGTTCCTAGCTGCAATTCTCTGTGGTCTCGGTGCATGTATGGTAGATGAGTAAACACTTGGTTGTAACTGTCCCCCGTGAGGGTCAGAGACAGAGGCTGGAACTGGTCACCATTTCTAGTGCAACTATTCAGGCCTGGAGATAGCAGTAGCTGTCTACCTTGAAGTGCTAATGTGGTTGAGTGAGTTGGGATACCACTGGGACTAGGGTGTCCTTGGCCAGAGGCTGTCTCTGGATTCTGTAGTGGTGGCCTGTAATTAAAAAACATTTCAAAGCACAACAGCTAGCAAATAGCTACCAACCATCCCCTGTCTAGTGTGGGAATCTGGCTGCTGCCTCTGTAGCTCAGCTGAGCCCAGATCATCCAGTATCTAGTTGCTGGGGGAGTCTAACATCCATATAAACCCCTCATACAGAGCTACAGATTTGCTTTTAGTCATGCCTCTAAAAGGTGATCCCACATATTCCTTTTGACTGTCTCATTCTTGATGTATGTATGGGTTTGTAGTGAGGCCATGAGATGGCTTGGTCCCCAAACAGCTTAGCCACCTGTGATGGTGAACAGTGAGGACAAACCCTCCCCACACCTGCTGTGTATGACTCAAAGCTCAGCTGTGTGTGACCAACGATAACATTAGCAGTCTGCATGGCTTTCTGCAACCCTGCCTCTACCCAGGAGAAAGGGCCTGGCCAGTGCTGAGGCCAGGCTGCAGGCATTGGGGTCCTGGGAGATCGGCAGAGTGATACTGCCTTGGTGCTTTGGTGCCTGTGGCAACTGGAAGCTGAGGATGTGCTGGAGCCCAGATGTGAGGATTACATTTGTGTAGTGATTACACCTGTCTCTCCTGAGTTCTGCAGCTCAGTGTACTAAATTGCTGTGTGTCTACTTTGTGGCTGAATTGTATTGGTATTCTAACACGGAAGTGAGTTTTCTACTTTATGCACCTGGGTCTGAATTGTAAAGCACTTCTGTGCCGAAATGCTGACACATACTCTGACCATCCTCTGGGTCTGCCATGTTGGAACTTTGCTGTGCAGGGCTCTGTGGGCCCATCGTGGTCCTGAATGATCCGGATCTATGTATAATAAGTCCATCGTGGATATTTGTTCATGTGTTTCTGGGAGAAACAGCTTTGTGCCATCTATATTCCCACCTTAAATCTCTAGAGTGCTTTTAACCCTTGAAAACAAAAAGTGTCTTGTTTTGTATATAAGACCCATCCAGTTTTGATTTTTGTTTTTCTAATGAATAAACCAAGTACTATCCACAAATTAGTTTGTTCTTTGTTTGGGAGTCTATACACATAGCCTGGCTTGGGTGGGGCCATGACAGCGCCAAAGGAAAGGAGCTTCCCCCAGAAACAAAATATCCCTCAGTCCTGTTCCTGCTCCCTTCTGGGAGTGGCACTATTAGGAAGTGTGGCCTTGTTGAAGGAGGTGTTGTAAGAGCTTTGAGACCCTCCTTTTAGCTGTCTGAAGGTACTCTATAGTGGCCTTCAGATCAAGATGAAGAACTCTCAGCTCCTCCTGTGTCATGCCTGCCTGGATGCTGCCATTTGTCCCACCATGATGATAACAGACTGAACCTGTAAGCCAGCCCCAATTAAATGTCCCTTATAAGAGTTGCCTTGGTCGTGGTGTCTCTTCACAGCAATAGAAATCTTAACTAAGACACTGGGGATAGCACTGGTCCAGTCTCCTGAAACTAGGATATATAATGCTTCCTTCCAAGTCTGCTGTGCTGTGTGCAACAGAAAAGCTGCTCCTGATTCTGGGAAGGACATCACCCCTAGGCTGAGGGCTATGCCATCCATGAGCTATGGCCAGCAAGTCCCACATGCGCACCCATATCTTTGTTTCTTGTTCTGTCCCTGTGATAAATTGCTCTTGACAAAAGCAACTTCAGGGTTGATTCTGGTTCAGTTCAAAGATACAGTCCATCACAGTGGGAGAGTCCATGTGGCAAGATCGTGATGCAGCTGGTCACATCACCTCTATAATCAGAACATGGATACATGCTTCTGTGGTAGCACTAGTGGTTTTGTGAGAGGCCTGATTTAGCTGGCCTGTTCTGCCTCATTATGTGTTGCCTTTTCCTGTTCTGGCCTTGCAGATGCTCAGCAAATATCAGGGCCTTGATATGGAATCTCTAGGCTCCAGAACCCTGAGCCCCCAAACCTCTATTCTCTATAAATTATAAGCCTAAAGTAATTTATTATATCAACAGGAAATGGAGTAAGACAGACAGGTACATTACATCAAAATTTTTTTATTGTGGTTTTGCTTTTTTTGTTTGTTTTGCTTTCCAGGCATTGTCTACCTTTGTACTTTCATCAGCTCTTCCAGAAAAAGCATTTTATTGGACATGGCCAATTAAAGCAATTCAGTGACCAACCATAGTACCAGAATGAAACCCACACAGCCCACAAGCAAGCTTGGACCCTGTGCCAACCCACATTTTGTTTGCCAGCTGACGATCCTGGCCCAGGCCCCATATTACCCATGGGCTTTGGAAGTGGGGACAATCCACTCAGTTGCTAAGACAAATCTGCCTCATCACACGGCAGGCCATCTCAGTCACTCTGGGCTAGTCTCAACCTCTGGTTTTCTCCACCACGGCACTGTCCACCTGCTTTGCAGGATGGCTGCTGTGAAGGTACTCCTTCTTTACAGCACTTGGTTGCTGTGACCTTCTTTCCCCAGAAGATAGACCAGGCTGAGGATGTAGCTCAGCTGAGCTTGATCCCAGCACCACATAAACCAAGTGTGGTAGTGGATGCCTGTCATCCCAACATTCAGGAGGTTGAGAAAGGGGTCAGAAGTTCAAGGTCATCCTAAGCGATGTAGAAAGGGGAGGAGTTAAATAGAGAAGGTATTGGTGGCATTTAAAGAATATTTTTAATGATTGTTAACCTATTGTTTTAGGGGTTTACTGCTGTGAACAGGCACCATGACCAAGGCAAATCTTATAAATGACAACATTTAATCAGGACTGGTTTATAGGTTCAGAGGTTCAGTCCATTATCATCAAGGTGGGAACATGGCAGCATCTAGGCAGGCATGGCACAGGAGGAGCTGAGAGTTCTACATCTTCAGCTGAAGGCTGTTAGCAGAATACTGGCTTCCAGGCAGCTAGGATGAGGGTCTTAAAGCCCACATCCACAGTGACACACCTACTCCAACAGGGCCACATTTTCTAATAGTGCCACTCCCTGGGCTAAACATATACAAATCATCACATTCCACTCCCTGGCCCCCATAGGCTTGTCCAAAAATATGAGTCTATGGGGACCATACCTAAACATAGCTTAATACAAAATTTTGTCCAACTTCAAAAGTCCCCATAGTTTATCGCAGTCTCAACAATGTTAAAAGTCCAAAGATCACAGTGTCTTCTGAGATTCATTCAATCACTTAACTGTGTAATTCCCAAGACAAAACAGAAAACCAGCTGGGCAAACTCCAAACTCTGCGTCTCCATGGCTGATGTCAAAGCAGTCTTCAGATCCTTTTTCAACTCCTTTTTCATCTTTGTTGACTGCAACAAACTTCTTTCTCCTGATCTGGTTCCACTCCCTGTTAGCAGCTTTCCTCAGTAGATAACCCATGGTTCTGGCATCTTGAACATCTTGCGGTCTCCAAGGCAACTTCTGCCAGGAGCCAAACCCAGGAAACTACCTGCTGTCCTGAGAGAACCCAGGAAGTTACCTGCTGTTCTAGAAAGCCTAGTCAGTGCAAGGTTAAGAAAGGACGTTCACAGGTCTCAGGCCCCAGGAACTTAAAGAACGTCTGGCATTTCCTGGGAGCCGGTTATGACAGTGGGATGGTTTAGGGCAATAAGCATTCAATGGTGGGATAGCCCTAAGCAATGACCCTCACCCAAACTTCCCAGGTTGCTGTGTCTTTATAACCTGCACCCAAAATGAAAGTTTCAGAGCTTGATCAGAACCCCAGAATTGCTCTTATTCCTTGTGCCTCTTGTCCCTTCATTCTTTCGTACCCTCCCTAAGGTCTTGTCAAATCCCCATGGGCCGGGGCAGTGTATTATATTTCTCTAGACAGAATTAGTCCTGGCAAGACCATCACCCTGGAGGTAGAGCCCAGTGACACCATCGAGAACGTGAAGGCCAAGATCCAGGATAAAGAGGGCATTCCCCCCACCACCACCACCAGCAGCAGAAGCTCATCTTTGCCGGCAAGCAGCTGGAAGATGGCCACACCCTCTCTGATTACAACATCCAGAAAGAGTCAACCCTGCACCTGGTCCTCCGCCTGAGGGGTGGCATGCAGATCTTCGTGAAGACCCTGACTGGCAAGACCATGGACATGCTAGACCACCCCTCTTCTCATTGTACAGGGAATGGGGAGATGTTGGCGACCCTGGACCACCATCCCAGTTAACAAAAGTTGCTAAATGAAAAACTGTCTCTTTTGGGAGGATCTGACCTTCAGCTAAGAAAGAATTTCCTGTTCTTACAGAACTATTGCCCTGAGACATTCCGGGAAAAACTGCAGAATGCTCTGCCAAATGACTGACCTTATCTATCGATAGTTGATAGAGTCCCCATCCTGTTCTTTGTCCCCCTTCCTCCTTTGCCTAGAGTATATCTTGTAAGCCGCTTCCGCATTAAAGCAGACCTTGACAAGTCGCCATTTGCTTGGTCTCGTTCTCTCTCTTGCCCATGTTCCTTTCAGGTGCGGTCCCCCTCGACTCCCACGAATAATTGGACCCACGGGTTGGGTCAAACT